CACTTGTTAAAGTGAACCTAGCCTGGAGGTGTTTGTTTTTCACAGGGACCAAAGCTCATTTTGAAATTTTTCTTCAGATCTTCTCTGCTTGTCCCAGGAAAACCACTATTCTGCCTCTACTCTTATTTATTTTAACCACTTTATGTTCACTCTGAGGTAAACATAATTATTATTATGATATTATCTCATTTGTGGGAAAAAGCTGGAGAGCTTGGAGTTTTCTAACCTACTCCACCATCTTCCCAGAATCCTCTCCAGGTTAAAAAGTTCAATGAAGAAAATGATTGCTTAAAAGTTAGATTTGGGCAAGTGGAAACTAATGACTTCATCATACATCATGAAACAAGGTCAAAAGAAAGAAAAAAAAATAGAAGAAAATGTGAAATACCTCATCAGAAAAAAACTGACCTAGAAAATAGATAAAGAAGAAATAATTTAAAAATTTTTGGACTGCCCAAAATCCATGATTAAAGAAAAAGGTTAGTCATTGTATTTCCAGAAATTATAAATATCTTAGAACCAGAGGGTAAAAAAGAAATTGAAAAAATTAACTGATCGTCTCCTGAGACATTCCAAAATGAAAACTCCCTGATATATTATAGCCAAATTGCAGAACTCCCAGAGTTCAGAGAAAATACATCAAGCAGTCAGAAAGAAACCATACAAATATCATAAAGTCACAGTCAGGATAACAGAAGATTTTGAAGATATAGAATATGATAGAAAGGCAAAAGAGCTGGGACTACAACCAAAAAGAACTATACAACAAAAGGAATTTAATCATTTAAGAGAAAACAAATTAGTATTTAATGAAAAGGAGGATTTTTGAAGGATTTATGATGAAAACACCACGGCTGAAAAGAAAATATGACTTTTCAATGTAAGACTAAAATAGAAAATAAGAAGTGAAAACTAAAGAGATATAATAAGGGAATCAATAAAATTAAAGTGTTTACATTTCTATGAGGGAAGATGATACAAGTAACTTTTAAGAACTTTATCATTATTATGGCAGTTAGTAAGATGATACAAAGATAGAGTGTGTAGAAATGAGTTGATCATATTGGATAATGAAAAATCAATGGGCAAGAGAAAAGAATGCACTGTAAGAAGGGGGACAGAAAAGGAAGAATGGGGGAAATTTTCTCACATAAAAAAGAGCTTCTTATGATGGAGGATAAAATGGTGAGGAGAGCCAGCCAATCTTTTTTTTGTTTGTTTGTTTTTGGGTGAGGCATCTGGGGTTAAGTGCTTGCCCAGGGTCACACAGCTAGTAAGTGTCAAATGTCTGAGGCTATATTTGAACTCAGATCCTCCTGACTCCAAGGCCAGAGTTCTATCCATTGTGCTACCTAGCTGCCTTGAGAGGAAGCCGATCTTGAACCTTACTCTCATTTCATTTGGCTTAAAGATGAAAGTGTGTGTGTGTGTGTGTGTGTGTATATGTGTATGTATCTGTGTATACATACACATATATACTCAGTTGGGTATAGAAATATATCTTAATCAACAGGGAAGTGGGGAAAGGTGATAAGATAAGAGAAAAGGAAGTAGTTAAAGAGAAAGCTGATAAAGGAAGGCAGTCAAACTGAGGAAAAAATTGTACCAAATTTCTCTGATAAAGACATTATTTTTCAAACATATGGGGAACTGAGTCAAATTCATAAAAATAAGAGCCATTTCCCAATTGACAAATGGTCAAGAAATATGAAAAGGCAGTTTTCAGATGCAGAAATCAAAGCTATCTGTAGTCATATTAAAACAAATTCTCTACAACACTATTGGTTAGAGAAATGCAAGTTAAAACAACTGAGAGGTACTACTGCACACCTATCAGATTGGTTAATATGATGGAAAAAAGAAAATGACAAATGCTGGAAAAGATGTGGGAAAATGGGACACTAATGCTCTCTTTGTGGAGTTGTGAACTGTTCCAACCATTCTGAAAAACAATTTGAAACTATGTCCAAAAACCTATAAAAGTGTGCGTACCTCTTGACCCAGCAATATATACCAAGTCTATATTCCAAAGAGAACAAAGAAAAAGGGAAAGGACCTATATATGTACCAAAATTTATAACAGATATTTTGTGGTGGCAAAGAATTGGTAATTGAGGGGATGCCCATCAATTGGAGAATGACTAAACAATATAATTTTGATGGAATACTGTTGTTCTATAAGACGTGATGAGCAGGATAGCTCCAGAAAAACCTAAGAAGACTTACATGAACTGATGCAGATATAAGTAAGCTGAACCAGGAGAATATTGTACACAATACCAGCATTATTGTAACAATAAACAATTGTGAAATACTTAACTACAATGAACCAAAGATCAACTAATGGGCATGTGTTTTTGTCATCACAGGACCCATGATGAAAATTGTTATCCACCCCCAGAGTGAGAAATGAAGAGCTCTGAATACAGATTGAAACCTATTCTTTTTATTTTCTTTATTTTTCTTGCATTTTGTCTGTGTTTTTTTTTAAACAGGGCTAATATGGAAATATTTTGCATGACTTCACATGTATAATTGATATCATATTATTTGACTAATCAATGGGTAGGGAATGGTCAAGAGTGTGGGAGTGAATTTGGAGCTCAAAATTTTAAAAGATGAATGTAAACATGTAATTGGGAAATATTTTAGGAAATAAATAAAAATCGAATTAAAATAATTTAGGTCAGCCAACATGTCTGCTAAAACTGTACATAAGTAATCTGAGACTCTTTTACTGTTCTCAGGCACATTGAGGAAAATGAAAATAGAAAGAATGACTTAACATCACGTGAGACTTTCATAACTCTCTATACATAACATAATTCCATTCCATAGACAAGACCTCATTAACTGTTGTCAGGCACACCAGAAATGTAATGTCTATTCGCCAAGAGGCATCAGAAGTCTTGCCCAACTATTTGATACTTCTTGACACAACTTTAACCTAAAAGACTAGTCTCATGCTCAAAAAATAATACTCATTGACTCCCTAATAGGACCAATTCCAAGTCTTGCTAACCACAACCACTGTTGTCTGATATCAGAGGATCAGATATGTACCCACACATAATACTTTGAAATAGATGCATTTCTCCTCTCCCTCCATGCTGTACCTCATTGGGATCAAGGAAAAAGAATTCCCAGAATGGACACAGCAGTCTGCCTCTTGTGTATCTAGGTGATATGCTACCATATCATCTGGCAAACAAAGATGCAAGATAAATCATGTTACAAGGATCCTTTACTTAGAGATCTTACTCTGGTTTCCATATCCCAACCTTGAGCTAATTCCTATGCCCTTTTGAGCTTGGAGGATTTTTTTTTCTTTTTACTCTAATTTCCAAGTGTATGACAAGAATTCTGTGTTATCCCAATGCTAGTGACACTGTAAAGCTCCACCTAACTACTCCAAGGCCCCCAAATGCTTCATCTGTTATCTGTGGAACTATTGGGGATAAACAATATTGAATAAATCTATAAAATCTTTAACATAAGGAGTATGGATATAAATAGGGAGAGGCCCTCAGTCATTCCTAATTTTAACATGAGTAATTCCATATAAAAAAACAAAAACAAAAACAAAAACAAACCTGGCCTCCATTTCATTAAATGAAAGATTCACGGTTTCCTTTATTTCTCTTCCTGAAGCCATCCCTATTTTTGTTCTTGGTTCTGAACTAACAAAACAGTCAGTTATCTGCCTGAACAATAACGATAAATTTCAGTAAGCAGCAAGCCTGAAATGAAGACTAGACAACCACCAAGGCCGGTGATTATGGAAGACTTTTTTTTCAGTCTCTAAAAGGTGAGCTGTTTTCTGAAAGGAAATTCCTTATACCACACACATCTATTTTTCTTCTGTGCCCATTAGTGAAATTAATATACTATTTGTAAGTAATGTCAGGAATTTACTCCAGCACCTGCACATTCCTTTTTTAAAAATTTCATTAAGCTTTCTTTTTTCTTTTTTTCAAATTTTAAATTTATTTATTTTTAGTTTTCAACATTTACTTCCACAAAATTTTGAGTTCCAAATTTTCACCCCATCTCACCCCTCCCCCACCCCAAGATGGCATGCATTCTGAATATCCCTTCCCCTAGTCTGCCTTCCCTTCTATCTCTCCCCTCCTTCTCTTATCTCCTTTCCCTCCTACTTTCCTGTAGGGCAGGATAGATTTTTGTACTGCATCAGCACCTGCACATTCTTAAAAGTACCCATGGTGATATTAACACAACATTGTGGACACACTTACCACTGTTCCCCAAAACTAGCACCTTCTACACCGGGGCTCATGCTTAGCTTTTCTCTAGTAAATAACACTTTTCTCAATAAACTCAGGACTAACATTAAAGGACTAAATGACTATGAAAGGTGAAACGCATAGAGTGAGATGTAGCAGACTGGATGATCATTCAACTTGGAGTCCAGACATGTAAGTTCTTGTCCCAATTCTTGCACCAGTGAACTGTGTAAAGTTGAGTAAACATCTTAACTTTTCTAATCTTCAGTGACCTCATCTGTGTAAAAGGCAAGTATGTTCTGGTTACTTCTAAGATCCTTTCATGGAAGCAAGGTGACTCCAATTCCATTCTTGATTTATAATATGGTTGATGCTCCAGGAGAGGTTCACCTTCCTTGACAATTGAGGGAGCTGTGAGGTGCAGGGTCTAGAGAATTAAACTGGTGTCAAGGAGACTTGAGGTCAAATCCTGCCCCAGGAACTTATTATTTGCATGATCTTGGACACACAACTTAACTTTTCTCAGTCTCAGTATCCTCCTCTGTAAAATAGGGCTAAAAATAGCCTCTGCCTTATGGGTTTGTTATGAGAACCAAAAGAAATACACATATAAAGTACTTTTTAAACTTTAAAGCACTTCATAAATGCTATTGTTGTTTCTGTTATATTATTATTATTATGAATTAATATTCCATGGTTAATATGGAATTAATATTTCATAAAGACATGCAACTTTCTAGGCTCACTATCACTCACCTGTGCAAACTTGTAGAGATCGAGCAGGGTTCCCATCTGAACAGATAGAACTGATGTGGCTCCTCCAATAACAGCCACAGACTTATCCTGCTCCCAGCAACTGTAGTTAGGGATGAACTCACTCAGTCCAGACAGCCACCTCAGGGAGCTCTCCAAAGTATTCTCATCACTGTGGTAGGTGTTGTATAGGTGGAATCCCAGGGAAATGTTGGGCAACAGATAGGGATCCCTGTTAATCTCCTCTATAGCAAATACAACAGCCAGAGCCTGCTGGTAATTTGTGTGCGGCCACCTATGGGGGTAATTGCCATAGATTAACAAAGCCTTCAAAAAGAATATTTTTCACAAGGATGAATTCCCCAGCCATATGAATCAAAACTAAGGACTCTAACAGTTGTTCAACTCATTCTATTTGTATTAAAACTACTCCCACATGTGCCTTGTTTCTGTATTCTTCCTTTCTTTTGATTCCTGAGATGGTGAGGACTATTGGATTTAAGTTCTTATGTGATTTTGCCTGCCTGAGTCAGTCACTTACGTCACAAATAGATATTGAGCATCCAGTATGGACTATAACCTGTAGAGGATATGGATTGTCCTTGACCCCAGAAGATTGATGATATAGTGGGAGAGAAAATATGTAAACCAATAACTGTAACACAAGGTTGTAGAGGATGTGTTTAAGGAGAATGTCACTGAGATCTATGAAATCTGAGCAGAAAGAGTCCCCATTCCTCTGAAGAAATAAGGGAAGACTTCATGGAGGGCATCATGGGTCATGAAAAGTGAGGAGGTTTTTGATACATGGGTATTTGGGGATGAGGTCATCCAAGGAGAGGAAATGATACAAACAAGTTCACACAAGTGTGCAAATAGGAGATACTGCATATTTAGGCCCCCAATATCTTACTCAGGTGCTGTCTGATCTGACTCAGCCTTCCTCTAACCTCACTTCCTTCCCTTCCCATATAGGGACTGAGAAGGGTAGAAAAACAACATTACTATAAAGATTGTGACTTAGTACCAGATCTTCAACTAGGAAGCCAGTAGCAAAGAAAAATATCTATATTATTCTTGGCAATGTTTTTTAAAAAATATGCCCAACCTAGTGTAATTTCTCCAGCTTTACCACTTCTCAGATGATTTAGGCCTGTTTTAATGGCAGTAGAAGATGAGTATGGCAGAATCCCAAGTCCTGACTATCTCACTTGACATGATAGTATCCTCAGAATTTGCAATTCTGTCTTTAGAAGTCACTAGCTATCTTTCTGAGAATATAAGACCCTTTGTGCTTTCTTTCTCTCTTAATTCAATTTCCATTAAATTAGAATCAGGGAAGATAGTAGCAGAGCCCCTACCATCATCAAAGAGTGCTCTTCTCAAGAAAAAGTTCAAATCCCACATAGAGTTTTAAAAAAGCATTTGACTTAAGACAGGATTCTTGTTTAAAGTTTCACTGAAGGATGATAGAAACTTCTTTTCCCTCTAAGTCAAACCACCAATTCTGCTTTGGTAGTGAATAATAAAGAAAGAAAAGAGAATAAGAAGCATATTAAAGCATTAAAAATATAATTAATGACTAAAATTAGTTAATGATTTTGTGTTTCAGACAAAAAATGGAGACACTTTATAATATAGAAATGTATAATTTGAAATAATAATTTACACAGTCTTATTTATATAAGTAGAAAGAAATGTGTAAAAAGAAATGAGAATCCAGAGGGATTAAAAAAGTGATATAAGGTAAAATAGATATATAGAAACATTTGGCTACAAGAAGGTACAGAAAAGGTCAGAATACTTTTCTGCCAAAAGCCATCTAACATATCTCATGGTCTGTGTCCCACAAGCAGAAGACAAAGTCTGTGGCCAATCTGCTTCTCTTCAATTATCACAAAAGGAAATCGCCCAGGAACTGGTGTATCTTAGTCTGAATCCCATTTCTGCAGTGCAGACTTACAGAGGCTTATAGGTGAGTGCTGCATTGTTACACACAGAGTTCCTGCTATGTAAATCTGGGTTTCTGTAAAGAGAATTGAGAGAGGACAAAACACAAAACTAAAGCTTAACCACCAGTACAGCTTGTCAAAGTCTCAGAAAGGAAATTCAATTCTACTTCTCTCCACTTCTTCTTCTTGGATTCCTCCAGTTCAGCAAAACTAACCAAGAGACTCAAAATCAAGCCCCTCACATATCTAGAGAAAACCAGAATACTCCAGACATTACCGCGCGATAGCAGGTATTCCATAAAGATATGTCTAAATCTCACTCAGTATTTGTTACAACTGTAGCCTGAACATGCCTTTCTTTTCCCAAAAAAACTGAAATCTCCTGAGTCCTCAGTTTCAGGCTCTGTCCCTGGCTGGTCATCAGCTCTGCTGGGCTTCCCTATCTTGCACTGCTGTGACTACCAGGAACATGTAACTGGTGCCAAGAAGAATTAAGGAAAATTATAAATTCATATACTCGTAAGAAGGAGGAGATCTGACAGTGTGTTTTCCACTAGTAGGGGAGGTGAGGGAAATATGAAATCTTCACTGAAGAAGGTTTCATGACTCCCTAACATGTTGTGCTACTTGTTATCAGATATTCAAATGTAGAGAGGAAATATGAGACCTTTCATTCTTATGGATGGGGCAAACTTCTCCTTGCCCTGTATCAGTACATTCAACAACAATAACTGCCCAAGGATAGAAAAGGCACAGGCCTCAAGAACTTCTGCTACTTCAGGGTATAAACCTAATACTAGGATGTCTGGGGTCTAAAGATGTTCATTAGTTTCACTGATTAAGTATAAATATGAAATCAGGACAGGAGAAGCGGGGTGATAAGAAACTGAGCCTGTTCAGGACTGAGCTTTCTGGGTAAGGGCTCTTTGAAGGGGACTGCAAATGGGGAAATAGAGGAGAGAGGTTTTCTCTGTTCAACTTTGAAAGTCAATCAGAGGGGAAACTGACAAGGATGTAAAAAATATCAGAGGCAAGAAGAAGAGGAGAGCACCTATTGTCTCATGTGGAATGGGCCTGCCGTTCTGCTCCATTTATAAGGACCTCTTCTTAATCATCACAGTGAAAATGAAATAGAGAGAAACTTACTGATAAGGCTTACAAGCTTGTTAGGAAGACTTTCAAACAGCTCTGCTCCTGTTACCCTGTTCACTTCAACTGAGAACAAGGATAAAAAGATCCCAATCGTCAGGTCCCCATCTCAGTAAACAATGGAATTAATTTAGTGGAATCAGGGAAGCTTCTCAGGCTTTTGGCCATATCCTGGAAGTTGCAACAGCAGCAGAGATATGAAAAGTGAAGAACGAATTTGAGAAATACTTTTCTGAGTATGGGACAACATGTCCTTGAAAATTATCCAGAGTTCTAATCCTGGGGAAACCAAGGAGCCACTCAGACCAGAGCAAAGTTGGCTGCCTCAGTTACACACTGATGAGGAACTGTCCAGCACCAGAAATGACCTTATCTTTCTGTAAATTCCCAGGCTCTGGAATGCCTGTCACGTCTGAGGAAACACAAGAGGACGTTAGTAAGGCCCATGTCCAAGACAAGGACAATGGCGTAAGATGGATGAAAATTTTAAACTTTCATCAGCTTTTAGAGTGAATTCTGTCCAGCACCCTTATTGTTAGATACTGATAGGGACCACTTCTCCTACTGAAGGCTCCACAGAGAAGTCTCAGTTCACCATGAAGAACTCTGGGGACTAGACTGCCTGGGGCATCTCCACCTGAGTCTCTGCATCCAAGGAAAAATATCAGTAGAAAATTATGTTTTGGACTCTCTTTCCCTTGATTCCAGCAGAGGCTATAGTACAGAAGTGCCTTCCTAGAAAAAAAACCAAAACAAAACAGTTTTTGTGTCCTGGATTCAACAAATGGCCTGTGATGACTAAACCTCATAAAAAATTCCCTTATAGGTGTTAAGACTTAAAAAACAAACCTTTAGAGATATCAGCTTCCCTGAGAGCCTTTAATTCTCATAGCCTTGATTAACTTCCCTGAACTCTGTGTGATGTAAGCCAGGCCTCATAATCAAGACTCAGTGTAATCTATTCTAAAGACTTATTACAGTATTACAATGCTCATATATTCCCTTTCTTCCTTCCCCTTTCAGTCTTTGGACAGCATCTCAGCATTACAGTCTCAGATGTAAAAAAAGTAGCCTAGGAGGTTACTTAGTCAATAAATTTATGCAAGAATTATGATTCTTCAGTGGCTAGCATTAAAGAAGCATGCAGGCTCACATTCCCTACCTGAGGAAGGTTCTAATGATAGACTCTGATGATAATACATTTAGCTCTTTTGATGATGGAAATAAAGAATTTAGAATGATTGGAGACCATGGGCCTGGGGAGTAATCTGATTTAATTTTCATTTTACAAACAAAGAAACTGATGCCTAGGAAAGTAAAATGACTTTCCAACATCTAAACAACATGTAGCAGATCAATTCTGGCCTTTGGACTCCACAGCTTATATTCTTTCTACTATCTATTACTGCCTCCTGGAGAAGTGAGCAAGCAAAGTTCATCCACTCAGAAGGTAAATGGACCTGCATTTGTATATGAATCTCCATTACAAGTATTTTACCTTTCAGGATCCCCAGAGTTATAAGATATCTCAGAGATCGTTAAGCATAAGACATCACAGATGTAACTGAGCATTCTAAGATGTGGAGTTAAATTCAGCAGAGGAGAAGGGATACACATTTTGGATTGCCTGAAGTCACTGGTTGGGAAACCACATTATCTCGGTATTACCACTTGCCATGGACATCTCATGTGGACTGGAGGAGGAAGGTTAAGCACAGTGGTATGAATTAATGATTGAATGAATGAATGAATGAATGAAAATGAATTTTATTGCTCACTGTGTTATATTATGGTGACACAAATACCAAAGCAAAGACAGTCTTTTCCTCTCAAAAATCTTATATTCTAATAGGAGGAGACAGCATTTATATGGAAACAATGGCCAGGGAAGTATATTTTGGAATAGAAAGTTAAATGGATGGTGAGTAGAAAGATGGGGGACTATATTGATGCATCTATCCAAAAGTAATGACAGAATTGATTTGATTATAATTTCAGAACTGGAAAGTAAGCTGGAAATGACTAGCAAATAAAGTGAAACATGGCTTGTGGCAAGCCTAAACACAGTGGGTAACTAAGGCCATATCCAATCAGGAAAGAAAGTTTTCAGGTTAAGAGTTAAAATGATTAAGTCCTCTGGCACTTGGCTGCTGAGGAGACCAATAAAATGAAGCAGTTTTGCTTGGTAAAGTGCAGTTGAGCCTAAGTAATAGAGGAGCCTAAAACTTTACTTTACCCTCTTCAAGGAAACCCACAAGCAGAGTATGCTCATCACATAAGGCAAACATATTAATGATCTTGACACCTGTGTACTTGAATCAGACTGTCTTGCTTTGCTGTTTGTGTCACCAGCATGTAACACAGTGAACAATAAAATTCATTTTCCTTCATTCATTCCATTCATCTAGTCATTCACTCATACCACTGTCTGTGTCCTTCCTTCCCCAGGCCACATGGGATGCCCATGATTAGTGGCAATATTGAGATAGACTGGTCTCCCAACCAGTGGCTTCAGGCAATCCCTAAGTCTGTATTCTTTCTCTTCCTCTGCAGAATTTAACCCAACATGCTAGAATGCACAGTTACATCTCTGATGTCTTGTGCTTAATAATTTCTGAGGTACCTCATAACTCTTGTGATCCCTGAAGATAGAATGAGTGTAAAGAGGATTCATAGACAGATGCAGGTTCACTTGCGTACTGAGTGGATGATCTATGCTTGTGCAGTTCTCTAGGGGGCAGTAATGATTAGTAGAAAGAGATGTTGTTTTGGATTAAAAAAACCAGAATTCATTGCTTCTTATTATGTAAATGTAGGGAAGTCATTTTTACCTTCCTGGGCACAAGTTTTCTCATCTCTAAAATGAAGACATAAAATCAGATTATATCCAGGGTCTCTGGCAACTATAAATTCTTTATCATCATCATCAAAAGAGCAAAATGTATATCCCCAGATCGTGTCATTATAGCCTTCCTCAGGTAGGGAATATGTGTCTGCATGTGTCTGAAAAACTAGTCATTGGAGAGTGGCATTCTATCATAAATTTTCTGGACAAAGTAACATTTGAGACTCTTATTTTTTTTTTAATCTCTAAGGCTGTAATGCTATGATCCTGCCCAAAGATTAAAGAGAGAAGTAGGAGAGAGGATTTGTGTGAACTGCAGTGGCTCAAAAGAAATGTGAGATCCTCAAATTTAGAGACATCTCCACATCAAATGTTTGCATGGACTGTTTGTGCCCGACTTGTGGTGGAGCATCCCAAGCTGGTATTTACTTGGCTGATCAGCCACAGTTGGACACACTGTTATTTGACTCCAGCAATGTGATGAAATTTTGGTCCTCTTTGAGAATGAAGGACAACAAGCATCCAACCAACATACTCTAACAGAACTTCAGAATAGATTATACTGAGTCCTGAGTATGAGGCTTAGATTATACCCAGCACTGGGAAGTGGGGGGACATCAAGACTTTAACTCTCACAGGGTATGAGGGCAATTGCCATCTATGAATGTTATTTTTTTTTATTTTATCACCTACTGGGGAATTTTTCATGAGTTTTAGTGCACAGAGGCCATTTACTGAACTCAGATCACAAAAATTACTTTCCTAAGAAGGCACTTCTATACTACAGCCTCTGCTGGGATCAAGGGAAAGAGAGTGCAAAACATAATTTTGTACTTACGTTTTTTTCCCCTTTGTATGCAAAGACTCAGGTAGAGACGCCCCAGGCCCTCTGGTCCCCAGAGTTTTTCATCAACCAAGACTTCTCTATGGAGGCTAGAGTGGGAGGAGTGGTGCCTGTTAGAATGTAACAATAAGGATGCTAGGAGACAGAGTTCACTCCAGAAGTTCATGAAACTATAAAGGATCCATTCATCTTGCACCATTGTCCTCATCTTGGACATGGGCCTAACTAATGTCAATTCTGATTGCTCAGGTATGGCAGGCAGACAAGAGCATGGAAACCTCCTGAAGGACAGGTCTTTTTTAATGCTAGACAGTTCCCCATCAATCCATGGGTGAAGCAGCTGACTTTGCTCTGGTCTGAGTGGCAACTTGGTTTCCCCAGGCTTGGAATTTTGGCTAATTTTCAGGAAGATGTTGCCCTATATTAAAAAAAAGTATTTCTCAATTGTTTTCTTCCTTTCTTGTATCTCTGATGCTGCAGCTTCCAGGCTCTGGGTGCAGGACAGAAAAGCTTCCCTGCTTCCACCAAATTAACCCTGTAGTTCCCTGAGATGGGGACATGCTGATTGGGATATTTTTGTCCTTGTTCTCAGTTGAAGTGAACAGGGTTACTGGAGCAGAACTGTTTGAAAGTCCTCCTAACAAGGCTTGTAAGCCTTTTCAGTAAGTGCCTCTCATTCTGTCTGGGCTCATTTGCACTGTGCTGATTAAAAAGAGGTCCCTATAGATGGAGCAGAAAGGCAGGTCCATGCAGCTGGGACAACAGGTGTTCTCTCACCTTCTTGTTTCTGAATTTTTTCCCATCCTTGTCAGTTAACCCTATGTCTGATTGCCTTTCAGATTTAAATGAAGTGAACCTCTGTCATCTACTTCCCCATTTGCACTCACCACCAAAGGGACCATACTCAGGAAGCTCTGTCCCAAGCAGGTTCAGTCTTTTATCACTCTGCCTTCCCTGGCCTGACCTCATGTTGATATTTCAGCCGTGGAAGTAATGGAAGTCCTTAGACCCAGGTCCCCTGGAATTCAGTTAACACCTTAAAACAGCAGAAGTTGTTGAAGCCTATGCCCCTTTCCCATCCTAGAACAGAGTTATTGCTGTTGAGTGTACTGATATTAGGCAAGGAGAAATTTACCCCGTCCACAGGAATGAAAGCCCCTACATTTTCTCTCTACATTTGTTCATCTGTAAACAAGTGAGTGCAACCATTTATGGAGTTTTGGAACCTCCTTCAGTGAAGATACTATATTCCTCTCATTTCCCCTATGGGTGGAAAACATACTGTTCCATTTTCTCCCTCTTGTGAGTGTGGGAATTTACCATTTTCCTCTATTCTTGTCAGTTGTTACTTGTTCATGATAATCAGAGTGGTCCAAACCAAGAATCCCAGACAAATCTGACTACACCATCCTGAGACAGAACCTGAAGCTGAGGGCTCAGGAGATTTAAGTTTATTAGAAAGAAAAGGTATGCCCAGGCTGCAGTTGCAACAAGTAAAGGGTGAGATTTCAAAATTTCTTTATGGAATGCCTGCTATTGCTCAGTGATATCTGGAGATCTCTGGTTTCCTCCAGGTGATATGAGAAGGCTTGTTGTTTCTCTAGGTCAGTTTGACTGAACTAGAGGTATTCAAGAGAAGCTGTACCAAGGTTTGTGCTGCTGGCCAAGCCATTGTTTTGTGTTTTGTTGTCTATTAATTCCCTTGGCAGAAACCCTGTTTACATAGCAGGAACTCTGTGTGTAGCAATGCAATACTCACACGTAAGCCTCTGTGAGTGTGCACTGCAGAAATGGGATTCAGACTAAAATACTCTATTTCCTGAATAATTTTCCTTGGTGAGAGCTGAGGAGTAACAGGTTAGCAGTTGACTGTCTCTTGTTGTGACAAACAGACAATGGGATTCATTTGATGGGTCTTTGGCAGATGAGCATTCTAACTTCATCTGTAATTCTTGTAGCCAAATGCTTTTGTATATCTTACATTTTCTGTCATTTTATAAATCTCTCTCATTTGTTATAATTCCATTCATACTTTTCTTTTATCTTATAAGTAAATATTTATGTCTCTATTTTTTCTCTAAATTACACAATTATTAAATCATTTTAATCATTGGTTACCTTTTTAATGCTTTAATGAATTTCTTCATCTTTCCAGAGTAAAATATATATATATATATATATATTTCATGAAAAAGGAATTTTAAGCATTCCTGATGAAAAGACCAAAACTGAATAGAAAATTTGACTTTCCAATTCAAGAATCAAGTAAAGCATAAAAAGGCATAAAAAGAAAGACAAAAGGGACTCAATAGGCTGAAAACTGTTTATATTTCTATATGGGAAGATACAGCATGTAACTTATCATACCAATAGTGCTCTCACCATACCTTACCATACCTTGGCATACCTTTGCTCTCCAAAATTTGCACCTTCTACACCAACATTCATACTCACCCTTCCTTTTGTAAATAACACACTACACAATAAATTGAAGACTGACATTAATTGACTAAATGATTTTGAAAGAGGAAACACAGAGTGAAATGTCATGGACAGGTTGATCATTCAACTGCAAATCTAGATACAAAAGTTCTAGTCTCAATGCTTGAACCAGTGAATAGTGTACTGTTGAGTAAACATTTTAACTTCTCCAATCTTCAATGACCTCATTTGTGTAATGGGCAAGTGTATCCATCCATGTTTCCTGGATATCCTTTCCTGGAGATACTTTCATGGATTGGAAGTTAAATAGCTGTAATTTTACTTTTGGCTTACAACATGAGTGGTGTTCCAGCAGAGGATCAACTTCCCTGATGATTGAGGCAGCTGCATGGGGCAGTAACTGGAGGGTTAAACTAGTGTAATGGAAAACTGAAGCCAAATCATGTCACAGGAACTTATTAGCTGCATAATCTTGGACAAGAAATTTAACTTTCCTCAGTCTCAGTAGCCTTTTCTGGAAAATAGAGATAATAATTGCACCTGTCTTATGGGTTTGTTGTGAGGATCAAAAGAAATATATATGTGAAGCACTTTTAAAATCTTAAAGCACTTCAGAAATACTAGTTATTGTTGTTGTTATTACTCTTATTATACTAATAATTCTTATTTTAGTTGGTAAAAGAATACCATATATCAAGTTACATAACACTCACCTGTGGAAATTTGTAGAGGTCAAGCAGAGTTCCCATCTGAACAGATAGAGCTGATGTGGCTCCTCCAATAACAGCTACAGACTTGTCCTGCTCCCAGCAGCTGTAGTTAGGGATGAGCTGGCCCTGCCCAGACAGCCAGTGCAGGGAGCTCTCCAAGGTCCTGTCATCACTATGGCAGGTGTTGTAGAGGTGGAATCCTAGGGAAATATTGGGCAACAGACTGGGATCCCTGTTAATGTCTTCTACAGCAAACACTAGAGCCAGGGCCTGCTGGTAATTTTTGTGCAGCCACCTGTGTGTAGGGGAAACGTCATAGAACATTAGCACAATCTTCAAATAGAATAGCTTTCAGAAGAATGAATTCCCCAGCCATTTGAGTCAAAACTAAGGACTCCAACAGTACTTCAACTCATTTTGTTTGTATTTAAAATACCCCCCCATGTTCCTTGTTCCTGTATTCTTCCAGTAATTCCTGAGATGAGGAGGACTAGTGGCTTTAAGTTACTGTGCTATTTTACCTGCTTGAGTCACTCATTCATTCCACAAATAGATACTGAGCATCCAGCATGGATTAGATCCTGTAGAGGATGTGAATTATCCTTGACTCTACAAGGACTGTGGTGTAGTGAGAAAGAGAGAATATATGCACCAATAATATTAATACAAATGTTCAGGTTGAATGCCACTGAGATTTGAGAAAGCTAAGCAGAGGGAGGCCCCATCCCCTTGAAGAAATAAGGGAAGGCTGGGCTTTAGTCTTGTGCTTTTTCCTCTTTCAATTCCCTTCACAGAAACCCTGGTTTACATAACAGAAACTCTGTGTGTAACAATGCAAACTAACAGAAAAGCCTCTATAAGTCTGCCCTATGGTAATGGGAATCAGACTAAAATACAACAATTTCAGGAAAATGTACCTTTTTGATAGCTGAGAAGAAACAAATTAATAGGTTATTCTGCCTTCTGGTTGTGAGAGACAGACTATGAGGTACCATGGATGGTACTTTGGCAGATGGGCATTGTGACCTATTCTCTACCTTCTTGTAGACAAAGACTTTTTTATCTTATCTTCTGCCACTTTGTTAATCCCTCTGAATTCTCTTATTTCCCATTATACCTTTCTCTCCTTTTATAAATAAGTATTCATGTCTCTATTTTTGTCTAAAGGACAAAATTATTAAATCATTTTGACTATTTGTTCCCTTTTTAATGTTTTAATATGCTTTTTCTTATATTGTTTGCTTTATTATTTATCAACTAGGCAGAATTGGTGGTTTGACTTAGAGGAAAAGGAAGGTTCAATGATCCTTTGGTGAAACTTTAAACAAAAATTTTGTTCTAAGTCAAATGCCCTTTCAAACTCTATGCAGTCTTTACATTTTATCTTAAGTATGGCACTCCTTGGTGTGAGTATAGACTCTCCTTCTGTTCTCCCTGATTCTAATTTAATGGAAAATGAATGAAGAAGGAAAGAATGGATACAGAGTCTTAAATTCTCAGAAACCTAGCAAATGACTTCTCAAGACAGAATTGAAAATTCTGTGGCTACTATCATGTTAAGAGCAGTAGCCAGGGCTTGGTATTCTATCTTGCTCACATTCTGCCTCCATTAATATAGGCCCAGATTGTCTGAGAGGTGATAACTATTGGAGAAATCTTACCAGATTGTACATAATTTTAAAACATTGCCAAGAAAAATAGAGGTATTTGTTCTTTGCTACCAGCTTCCTGGTTGGAGACCTAGAACTAAGTCACAATCTTTGAAATGACTTTGGTTTTCTACTCTTCTCAGGCCCTACATGAGAGGAAGAGGAAATAAGGAGGGAGGGAAGGCTGAGTCAGGAACTCAGCTTTCACTGGTGATATAAAACAGGACCTGAGTAAGATACTGGGAGCACGAATGTTCAGTACATCTTATTCTCATATTCGTGTGAGCTTGTTTGTAGCATTTCTTCTTCTTGGAATGACATCTTCAACCAAATAGCCATCTGTCAAAATCATCCTCACTTTTCATGGTCCATGATACCCTCAATTAAAGTCTTCTCTTATTCCTTCAGCAAGATGGGGCCTCCTTCTGCTTAGCTTTCTTTGATTTCAGTGCCATTAAACTTTAATATATCCCCTTTAATATATCCCCTGTATTGTTATTGGTGTATCTATTTTTTCTCTTACTGTACCATAGGCCTTCTAGGGTCAAGGACCATCCAGATCATCTATAGGATCTAGTCTATACTAGATGCTCAATACCTACTTGTGGAATGAGTAAATTACTCAGGTGGGCAGAGTCACATAAAATTTTAAAGACAACAGTCTTCATCATCTCAGGAATCAAATGCAGGGAAGAATATAGGAATAAGACACATGGATGAGGCCATTTTAAATACAAATGAGATGAGGTGAACAACTATTTGAGATCTTAGTTTTGATTAACATGGCTGAAGAATTCTTCCTTCTGAAAAGTATTTTTTTTTAAAGCTTTGATAATATTCTATGGCACTTGCACCTCCAGGTGGCTGCACAAAAATTACCAGCAGGCCCTGGCTCTAGTGTTTGCTATAGAGGAGATTAACAGGGATCCCAGTCTGTTGCCCAATACTTCCCTGGGATTCCACCTCTACAACACCTACCACAGTGATGAGATGACCTTGGAGAGCTCTCTGCAGTGGCTGACTGGACAGGGCCAGTTCATCCCTAACTACAGCTGCTGGGAGCAGGACACGTCTGTGGCTGTTATTGGAGGAGCCACATCAGCTCTCTCTGTCCAGATGGGGTTGCTGCTTGACCTCTACAAGTTTCCACAGGTGAGTGATATTGAACCTCATATATTCTATGCCTTTATTGACCAAAATAATATGACTATAATAACAGTAATAATATAACAGTAGCAATAGCAATAACTAGCATTTATGAAGACCTTTATGGTTTTAAAAGTGCTTTTAATATGTATTTCTTTTGATCCTCAAAACAAACCCACATGGTAGATGCTATTATTTCCCCCATTTTACAGAGGAGAATACTGCTACTAAGAGAAACTGATTTGCATGTTCAAGGTCATTCAATTAAAAGTTTCTGTGGCAGGATTTGATTTAAGGTCTTGATACCAGTTTAACCCTCAAGCTGCTGAACCACCAGCTGCTTTCATCATCATTTGATCCTCTCTTGGAACATCACCCAAATTGTAAGCCTAGAATGTAATTGGAGTCATTTAGCTTCCAACCCATGAGAGGATCTGAGAGGAAACCTAGATATAATTGCCCATTACACAAATGAAGTCATTGAAAACTGGAGAAGTTTGAATGGTCACTCAACATTGTACAATTCACTGGTGCAAGAATGGTGGGACTAGAATTTCCACGCCTGCACTTCCAGTTGAATGATCTATTAGTCTATTACATTTCACTCTATATGTTTCACCTTTCAAAACATTTATTCCATTAATGTTAGTCCTGAATTTATCAAGAAGAGTGTTGTTTAGAAAAGAAAAACTGAGCATAAACACTGGTATAGAAAGTGCAGATTTGGGAGAGCAATGGGAAGAGCAGTGGGTAAACAATGGTAAGTGTCTATGATGTGCTAAAAGCATCATAGCGGGGGATGGAGCAAAGACGGCAGAGTGAAAGCAGTGACTTGCTTGAGCTCTCCCCCAAACCCCTCCAAATACCTGTAAAAAATTCAATCTAAACAAATTCTAAAGCAGCAGAACCCACAAAAAGACAGAGTGAAACAAATTTCCAGCCCAAGATAACCTGGATAGTTGATTGGAAAGGTGTATCACACCGGGCTGGGAGACGAGCACAGTATGGCATGGGCACACAGGCCACAGCGACCCTGGAGCAGGCCTCAGAGGACTGAATTGCAGACAGCTGTCGTGGTTTCCAGACTTTTCAACTCATGAACGCCAAAGACAACTTAGAAGGTCAGTGGGAAAAGTCTGTTTCTGCGCTGCAGAAAGAGAAGCATAGTGGGGTTCCAGCCCATCCCCAAGTGCTCCCGGGGTGGTGGCTGCCTCCTGATCTTCTAGCCCACAGACTGAGGGGGAATCTGGCGACTGATCAGAGGGGGATTGCAGGGATCTCTCTGCTGGTGCAGGATTCTCTTGCTTTGACTGTGCTTGGATCTGAGTCAGTTCTGGGTGGTGGTCCTGGGGCAAGGAGAAGCGCTGGCATGGTGGAGCTTGTAGTGGCTGTGGAGAGGAAACCCTCCTCACAGCTCCAAGAAAGAAAAGAGTGCTCATAGACCAGAGCACAGGCCAGGAAAGGAGTAAACACCTCACCCTTGATCATAGCACCTTGGAAGAACTGAAAATTTACAGGTCCCTAGAAGTATCTCTGAACACAGCTGCACAAAACCCCTGAAGCTTGGGACAGCACATTCTCCACACTGGAAACAGACTCCTACTTTAACAAAGGGTCTATAACTCAAGTAATTGGTTGAGATCATGAGCAAGCAGCACAAAAAGAGTCAGACTATATTATCTTACTTTGATGATAAAGAAGATCAAAACATACAACCAGAAGAAGACAACAAAGCCAAAGCTCCTACATCCAAAACCTCCAAGAAAAATATGAATTGGTCCCAGGCCATGGAAGAGCTCAAAAAGGATTTTGAGAAGCAAGTAAGAGAAATAAAGGAAAAACTGAAAGTGATGCTAAAGAACTGAAGAAAATAACACCTTAAAAATAGCCTAACCCAAATGACAAAAGAGGTCCAAAAAGCCAATGAGGAGAAGAATTCCCTAAAAAGTAAAAGTGGCCAAATGAAAAGGGAAGTCCAAAAGCTTACTGAAGAAAATACTTCCTTAAAAATTAGAATGGAGAAATTGGAAGCTAGTGACAATTTGAGAAATCAAGGCACTGTAACACTAATCCAAAGGAATGAAAAAAATAGAAGAGAATGTGAAATATCTCATTGAAAAAACAACTGACCTGGAAAATAGATCCAGGAGAGAGAATTTAAAAATTATTGGACTATCTGAAAGCCATGATCAAAAAAGGAGCCTAGATATCATCTTTTAAGAAATTATCAGGAAAACTGCCCTGATATTTTAGAACCACAGGGCAAAATAGAAATTGAAAGAATTCACCAATCACCTCCTGAAAGAGATTCCCAAAGGGAAACTCCTAGGAATGTTGTAGCCAAATTCCAGAATCCCCAGGTCAAGGAGAAAATATTGCAAGCAGCCAGAAAGAAACAATTCAAGTACTGTGGAAACACAATCAGGATAACACAAGATTTAGCAGCTTCTACATTAAGGGTCCAGAGGGCATGGAGTATGATATTCTGGAGGGCAAAGGAGATAGGACTACAACCAAGAATCACCTATCCAGAAAAACTGAGTATAATCCTTCAGGCTAAAAAAATGTCATTCAATGAAACAGGGGACTTTCAGGCATTCCTGTGGAAAAGATCAGAGCTGAATGGAAAATTTGACTTTCAAATACAAAACTCAATTGAAACATGGAAGAGATAAACAGTAAAGAGAAATCATAACAGACTTATTAAGGTTGAACTATTTACATTCCTGCAGGGAAAGATGATATTTGTAACTCATGAATCTTTTGTCAGTTTTAGGGTAGTGGGAGGGAAAAATTGTATATATGTATGTATATATAGATAGAGGGCACAGGGTGAGTGGAAGATGAAGGGGTGATATCTGGAAAATAAAATTAAGGGGTGAGAGAGGATTATACTGGGAGAAGGAGAAAGAGAGAAGTAGAATGGGGTAAAATATCTCACATGAAACAGACAAGAAAAGGGTTTTACAGTGGAGGTTAAATGGGGGAAGGTGAGAGGAAATGAGTGAATCTTATTCTCATAGTATTTGGCTTAAGGAAGGAATATCATACACAATGGGGTATGGAAATCTATCTTACCCTACAGGAAAATAAGGGGGAAAGGGACAAGAGAGAAGGAGGATGATAGAGGGGAAGGCAGATTGGGGGAGGGGATAATCAGAAGCAAACACTTCTGAGAAGGGACAGGGTCAAAAGAGAGAATAGAATAAATGGGGGGTAGGATAGGATGAAGGGAAATATACTTAGTTTTTCATAATAGGATTACTATGGAGGGATTTTGCATGACTACACATCTATAACCTGTATCGAGATGCTTGCCTTTTCAATGAGGGTGGATGGGGAGGGAGGAAGGGAGAATATTTGTAACCCAAAGTTTTAAAAACACATGTTAAAAAGAAAAAAAAAGAAAAAAAGAAAAGCATCATAAGTACATTTAAGAATTACAGGTGCTATAGTAAATTCCTGACATTGCTCACAAATAGGCCAGTAACTTTCCTGAAAAATACAGAAGACATATAGACATATGTGATATGAGGAAATTCCTTTGAGAAGACAGCTCACCTTTTAAAGCCTGGAAAGAGTCTTCAATGAGCACTTGACTTGCAGGTGGGGTAATCTGCATTTTAGTCTTGCTGTTTGCTAAACTTTATCAATACTTCTCAGGAAGATAACTGACTACTTTGTTCAGAACAAGAATGGAAGTAGTGATTGCTTCATGCAACAGAAACAAAGAAAGCTATAAGTCCTTGATTTCATTGAAATGCAGACCAGTGTTTGGTATGGGATTACTCATGTCAAAAGATGAAAGACTGAGGAACTCTTTCTATATCTGCACAGCTCATGTTAAAGCTTTCATAGTTTCACTCAATATTATTTAATTCCCAATCACTACACAGATATAGATTCAGCATTTGGTGGCCTTGTAGTAGTAGATTGGGGGAGCTTTGTGGTGTCACTGGCATTGGAATTGCAAACAGTTCTGATCATACACTTGGAGACCAGAGTGAAAAAGAAAAATTCCAACCTTAAAGGACAAAGGAATTACTCTGGGTTGGGACTTGGAAACCAGAGTGAAATCTCTGAGTCTAAGAATCCATGTAACAGAATTCTTATCGCATTTTTGCCAGATGATATAGTAGCATAAGGTCTTGGATAGGGAAGAGGTAGACTGTTGTGTCCATTCTGGTGTTCTTTTTCTTTGATCCTGATGGGGTACGACATGACAGGGGAGGAGGAATATGTCTGCTTCCACAAATGGATAGGTTCCTTTATAATATGATTGTGGATACATGTCTAATGTTCTAATATCCAACAATGGTGGTAGTGGTTAGCAAGACCTGACATCGATCCCATTATGGGGTCGATGACCATTCTGGTGAGACCAGTCTTTTGTTGAAGGCTTGAACAAGGACTACCAAGTAGTTGGGCAGAATTTCTGATGCCTCTTTGTGAATAAATATGACATTTCACTTGTGCTTGACTTAGTGATGGGCACCTAAGTGTGGCTCAGTGGATGGAATGCTGGGCCTGGAGTCAGGAAGACTCATCTTTCTGAGTTCAAATCTGGCCCCAGACTAGTGGTTTGGCCCTAGAAAGTTCACTTAACTGCCTCAGTTTTGTCATCTGTAAAATGAGCTGGAGAAGAAAACGGCAAACCACTCCGCTGTCTTTACTGTGGAAACATCAAATAGGGTCACAAAGAGTCGGACACGATTGGGAAACCACTGAACAACAACAACAACAAAAGTCAGTGGACTTTTGTCCACTCATCAGTGGAGTGAAATGATGGTGGGTGTAGAGAGTCATGAAAATCTGATGTGTTCAGTTCTGTTTCTAATATTCTTCAAGTGCCTGAGAGCAGTAGAGGAGCATCAGACAATTTATATGCAAGTTATAGCAAACATTTTAGCTGTCTTCAATTCCTTTTTTATTTATATTTTTATTTTGATCAATATTTACCCATTACATTAAATTTTATTTAAACACTCATCTTTTAAAATTTTGAA